GGCTTCGGGGTTAGGGTTTAGGGATGTCTAGGGTAGGGCTCGTAGAATCTAGGGTTTTTGGGCCTGTATGTGTAGATCCATGATTTTGCCACTCCCAAATCCGATGCTGAAGCTGGCAGGCCTGAAGAACCCCCTGTCCAGGGGTTTAGGGTTTAGGGGTCCAGAATCCTGAAACAGGGCACATGCTCATGCTTGTTGAAGTTTATAGGGAGTTTACGGGTCAAGTCTCATTTGCATGGCTTATAGTGGCACATGTAGAGCCCGATGTTTTGTAGTCCAATAACCAATCCTCTGAAGGTATACCTACCATACCATCATCTACCTTTTGATTTTGTAGGCTCTGATTATGAACCTTGATATGGAATTTGTGAGGACCCTGCAAAACAGTAGGTCTTGGCAGCCAGAGAATTTTTTTGAATTTTCTTTTGGACGTTGAAAACTGTGCGCGAAGCAGAAAAAATTAGACATCAAACATGGAAAAACATTATTTCATCAAGTTTTGTGCTGAGTTGGAAGTTACTGGAAAGCAAATGTGGAAGAATCAGCACATTACTTTAGAAGAAAAACGAAGATCAAGGTATTTACTCGTGGTCACTGCCTGCTTCGCAATAGCGGCCATCAGGACCCGCTTGGCGGATGCCGACACATTTTCCATCGTCGAAGGTCAGCCCCACGATCGAGTTCACGCCGTCGGCTTTGTTGGAGAAGCTCGAACCCTTCCATTCAGGTTGTTCCGCTGTGAACGTCTTGGACCGGCCCTTGTTAGTGATGCAAGTGAGCTCATGGCAGAGGTATTGACGGCTTCGGGTACTGTAACCTTCTACGCCTCAGATGGCATCTGATTCCAAGCGCACAAGCTCACATAGCAAAGTCAACAAGCAGAACCTGACGGACCGAAGTTTTTTAAATGCACTTCACAACCATTCTGTCCTAAGGGTCCAAATAGTTAATTGCTCCCTTTTCCGGGAAACTTCCCAGCAATAAGGGCTTAGGGTTTAGGGTTATAATACTCTAGAACCCCAGCTGCCTAAATAGTGGGTAACTTGATGACGCATTATACGCTTGGTAACCTATTGTTCAAGTAGCTGGCTGCGCTCCGCTTTGCCGGCAAGACTCTTACGATGAACTCGTCGCTGTCTAAGTCAAAGCGGTCTTTGGGTTTGGAGCGGTCGCGCCACTCGATGACACTCATCTGTTCGCGACAAGGACACCTGTCGACAGGGTCCCACAAGAATCCTCGCAGGCTAAATGCGGGATGCTTACACAACTCTCACTGACAGCAGACTGACATCACGATTGCCCCCTGTCATGGAGCCTGTCACTTTCTCATCGTGCATCACGAAAGCCACGCCATGGATAGCCCAGCCCATCGCCACATGCAGCGATTTAACCTTCATGATTGTCTCTTTGCGGAAACCTGTGGCGATGAGCCGACGGTTCACTGCGTCCACCAAGGCCATTAGCGAGCCCCCCACAGCGGTGCAGACCGAGAGGATCATGAAGAAGTTCCTGGGTTGTAGCTTAAGTTTAGGGTTTAGGGTTT